GTTCTCTCCTGTACAGGTGTGATACCACACACGCTACACAAAAGCCTGGGAACATTACAATTGAGTAGAAATACATACATCACACTACAGAAGGCCACTATATTGAATACATGCCACATTGTTAGGAAATTCCTGAATACAGACACACACACTGACACACTTATTTAATTTTAGTTTTGTTTTGGTTGCTATGTCTTGACTCTGGTCCAGCATAGTACACAGCCACCGGTGTGAACCGAGTATAACCCACTAAGCCCAACATAATAATAATAATACCATAGGCATAATCAAATAGCAAATATAATACACTAAGAGCTTGTACACAAATACCGATTATTAAACATCCAGGTACCATAACTACAAATATACTCCACCAACAGTATTAAAAAATGACACAGAAAATATACAATGACAGAGCCATAATCACAGAGAAAACAGTTCATCACAATAGATCTGAGCCATCACTCTCATTGACAAATGCAATAAGATCATTTATATAATAGACATCTTTATTTCAAACACACATAAAAAAATGAAAGCTGTGTGTTTATGTTGTTAGAGTAAATATTTTATTAATTAATTTGATTTAATTCTTAGAAATATATTTATGTAGTACAGTAAATTACTTAAAACAAATTTTTAGTATTCCAGTGCCGGTGATGATTCTGTTTCTGAAGCAATTACAGATTTAGTGCGTGGAACGTAAGTGACAATTTTAGTAAAATTGAAGTATGATAAGTATTTTTTATAATTTATACCAGGAATCAGATTTAAAACAACTAGAAAATTCAGCACAAATATTTAATGCTCTTTCTGACATACCTGGAGATGTTGAAGATGTAGAACAGTTATTTGAAATATCTTCACGTTTAGCTTCATCTCTTACTGATACAGTTATTGAAACTCATAGAAGAAAACATTTAGCATATTTAATGGCAGATCAGGGAGCATTATTGAACCCAGAAAGTGCAAAAAATTTACCAAAACAAGTATGTTTATTGATTATTTGTAAAATCATATATAAATTTTATACTTAAGTTCATATATTTAGGATTATTTTTTTATTTTAATTTATTGTATAAAATTTTTATGTCTGTTTTTATAGCATTTGAATCGACGTCAATTAAAACGATCAAAATCAGTATTTCAATTAATAATATTTGGAGATGGAGAAACTGATGAGGACATTCGTAGTAAAAATATTCGACAAACTGAAATTCTTGTAGATTTACGAGAAGCTATATTGCAAGTTGCTCGTCATTTTCAATCTGTTGATCCCAAAATTAAAGTTGTATGAAAATTTTTTTAAAATAACTGAAACAATATGAAAAAAATTATATTATTAAAATATTGGTAAATATTTTTTTACAGAATCTTATTGCTGATTATTCAATGGATGGACATGCTAGAGATCATGAAGTATTTGTTAATGTATCTAGAAATCGTCGAAGACGTGCCAAAGCCCTATTAGATTTTGAAAGACATGATGATGATGAATTAGGTTTTCGTAAAAATGACATTATAACAGTAAGTATATAAATTATTTTTTTATAATAAAAACATATATGCTTTAAATATAAAAAAATCTATAGACATGCATCCATGTTTTCAGTTTCTAATTGACATAAGAAAAAATAATTTGACTTACATAAATAGAAATTATTTTGATAATTTTATATATGTAAATTATGAAATTATATTCTGAAATATATAAAATAATATATAAAATTTCTCTAAATAAATTTGAGTAAAATTAGAAATAAATAAAACAATAACATACTATACTCTTACTACAGACACTTTTCTTAATTGAAAAGAATTTTCTCTAATTTTTAATTACAAAATTGATTTGAATATATGAGTTCTAAGTTTTGGCTCTATGGAGGACTTATAACACACTATTGAAGTTGTTGGAGTAACCACATGGATATGGGTGAACACAGTTTTATTATAACTATGGTATGCATTTCAGACAGTCTATCTGTTCCTCTTCAGCCGTGTTTGTTACAATTTGATGTGTTTACAGGAGTTTAAATAGTACCTTCTATTTGTTGCCTAAACTTGGATGTCTTAATTTTTAGTTTTAATACAGACGTTTTTATTTTGTTTACAGTACAAACAGTAACATACTTGTTGTTTAATGAATTAATTGTGAAGTAAATAAAGTTTTTTGCAGTCTGTCAGCTTATACAAACTATGTCTACTACTACTAACACAATGTTACTATAGGATGGTATGCAACAGGTGTTGTAATATAAGGACTTGTGTTTATCTATTTTCCACAAAAACTGATATGATTGTTATCTGCTCTATATTAAGCATCAGTTTTAGAAGATATACTTCTTCAAATAAAATTTTTAATAATATTTCAAATTGATGTTATATTATATTAAAGTATTTATAATACAGATATAACTTTTGATTTAAAAATGAATTCTAATAAATGGATAATTTAAATGTGTATATATTTTTTCTTTTCTTATGTAGATTATTAGTCAGAAAGATGAGCATTGTTGGATTGGAGAACTTAATGGATTGAGAGGATGGTTTCCTGCAAAATTTGTAGAATTACTAGATGAACGTAGTAAACAGGTATAATTATTTTAGCATTACATGGAAAAAATTACTGTTTTTGTAATAGAATATAGTGCATTTGTTAAGTCATTGTTGGCAATTCAATGTTTAATGATGGCTTTCATAATTGCATTTATGACAAATTGTTAAAGCTATTTTTAATTATATTGCTAGCATTTGATGTTAATAACAACAGTTTCATAAATTCAGTTTCAATTAATAATAATAATAATAAATACTAAAAACTACAGAAAACACTTACTCAAAGATACAACACTCACAAATGACACATGCAGAAAATGTTACATCATGCCAGAAACTATACAACACACCACTTCTGGGTGCAAACTCTTGGAACAGACAGATTATTTACACAGACATAATCAAGTAGCAAATATAATACACCAAGAGCTTGCAAACAAACACAAATTCACAAACCATACTACAAGTATATTCCACAGACAGTATTGGAAAACAACACGCACAAAATGTACTACGACAGAGCCATAATCACAGATAAAACAATTTACCACAACAGACCAGACATCACACTCATTGACAAACACAATAAAATCACATACATTATAGACATAGCCATTCCAAACACTCACAATGTACAAAACACATGCACTGAAAAAATTAGCAAGTACACAGAACTCGCCCAGGAAATAAGGCATCTGTGGAGGATGGATAGGGTGCTTATTGTACCTGTCGTTCTCTCCTGTACAGGTGTGATACCACACATGCTACACAAAAGCCTGGGAACATTACAATTGAGTAGAAATACATACATCACACTACAGAAGGCCACTATATTGAATACATGCCATATTGTTAGGAAATTCCTTAATACAGACACTGACACTGACACACTTATTTAATTTTAGTTTTGTTTTGGTTGCTATGCCTTGACTCTGGTCCGGCATAGTACACCGGTGTGTACCGAGTATAACTCACTAAATCCAACACAATAATAATAATGATTTATATATTTGTTTTAGCATTTTATCACTTTAAATAATTTATTTTTGGAGTATAAATAAATTTTTTCATATTATTTAAATTTTAGAAAATTTATTAATAATTTAAGGATTCTTCTTGTATAATAACTAAATTTCTGTTAATAATTTAATTACAGAATTATCACTAATAACACTACAGTGGTTTCTAACCCTATTTGCCAATGTAGTGCACATGAAGATCCTTCTTCGCATCTGGGATATGTTCTTCTATGAAGGCTCTCTTTTTCTCTTCCAAATTACTCTAGGAATGCTAAAAATGAAAGTAGGATGTTTGTAAACTAACATACCTTATCTTTTCATAGAAACTTTATTTAATAATTTTCATATTACTAATGAGTTTTGTGTGTATAATTTCAAATAATAGAAATAATTTTTCTTGTAACATTTCAGTCTGTCTTACTAACTTGTAAGATATTTCTTTAGATAACTAAAAAAATACTTTATAAAATATTAAAATTGCTTTTAAGATAATTTTTAAAAAATATCATTCAAATAATTTAAATCACTTCTTTATCTTTTATTAAATCAAAAATTATAGTTTACATAAGAAATTGTACTGTCTTTTGGCATTAAATTTATTTGTTTGATGAATTAAAGAAGTAATTTTGACATTTCAAAATGTTATTTCTTTTTATAGATCATTTAATAACATATACTTTTATGGAAGTGGTTATTTATCATAAACAAATTAAAGCAAATATCATATTTCAGCTTTATAAACCTTTAATTAGACCTTGACAAATAAAGTCTACATAAATAAAAATATACTACCAATCGTAGTATCTCTAGTATGATTTTAATGTTACTTCAAGGCATATTTTATTTATTGGTATTTGTTTGATATATATTATAAGAGATTGAAAATTANCGCTACACAAAAGCCTGGGAACATTACAATTGAGTAGAAATACATACATCACACTACAGAAGGCCACTATATTGAATACATGCCACATTGTTAGGAAATTCCTGAATACAGACACACACACTGACACACTTATTTAATTTTAGTTTTGTTTTGGTTGCTATGTCTTGACTCTGGTCCAGCATAGTACACAGCCACCGGTGTGAACCGAGTATAACCCACTAAGCCCAACATAATAATAATAATACCATAGGCATAATCAAATAGCAAATATAATACACTAAGAGCTTGTACACAAATACCGATTATTAAACATCCAGGTACCATAACTACAAATATACTCCACCAACAGTATTAAAAAATGACACAGAAAATATACAATGACAGAGCCATAATCACAGAGAAAACAGTTCATCACAATAGATCTGAGCCATCACTCTCATTGACAAATGCAATAAGATCATTTATATAATAGACATCTTTATTTCAAACACACATAAAAAAATGAAAGCTGTGTGTTTATGTTGTTAGAGTAAATATTTTATTAATTAATTTGATTTAATTCTTAGAAATATATTTATGTAGTACAGTAAATTACTTAAAACAAATTTTTAGTATTCCAGTGCCGGTGATGATTCTGTTTCTGAAGCAATTACAGATTTAGTGCGTGGAACGTAAGTGACAATTTTAGTAAAATTGAAATACNTTTTATTTATTGGTATTTGTTTGATATATATTATAAGAGATTGAAAATTAAACTGTTATAAAAAAATAAAGACAAATTTCCTATATAACATTAATTGACATGTATATATCTTAAATTATACAGTAATTTACATATGTAGTTGTAAATGTAATAAATAGAATGTGGTATAAATTTATTGTGTTATTTGTACTGTACTTATATATATATATGTATATAATATATACATGGATGTAGCCAGAAATAAAAGTGTGGATCACCCACTTGGCTGATGTTGCTTGTGTACACTTAGCACAGACTACTGTAAAAATTCAATACACTACAATCATTAGTATCACATTATTGTGCAAGGAACTACCACATGATATGACAGCTCTTTGCAGATTTTATGCAAGCCATATGCAAACCAGTGATGCATACAACAGTGCTGAATTAAAAAAAAGAAAATACTGAACAAATATTAAATTTTACTCTTTATTTTGTGGCTGTTCATGTAACCTAGTATTTGAATGTGATGTGTGTTTTTTGTTTTATCTAGTGGTCAATTGCTTGTGACTTTTTTTTTTCTTGCTGTTTATTTTTAAACTTTGGATGGTAGTGGAGGTTAGTTGGTAGACAGTGAAGAGTGACAGATTATTAATATGGGAAACCCTGCCTCTTGCTGACCTGTGTGGCTACATCCCTATATACAGTATATAAATAATCAAATTTCAAACACACAAATATGCTGCTTAATTAAGGCAACCAAAAATTTTTTAAATTAAATTTAATTAAAACTTTAGGAATAAAATTTTCTGGTAAATTAAGCATTATATGTTGTATGTTTAAGATAGTTATGTGTTTAATACAGTTTGAGATAATGTCTGTCTTGTAGTTAATCTCATAGTTTTATATATATTTTTGTTTATTTATATATATATTTATTTGTTTTTGGCTGCCTTAACTAAGCAGCCTGTTTGAAATTAGACGTTCTTATCAATATTTCATAAAGTATCTATAATGTTTATTATATTTTCATAACGTAATTTAATTAATAGTTATATTTATAACATATTTGTTAAATTTTGATATTAACTCTGCAAATTATTTCTTTAATTTTTAAGTTTTNGCACGGAAGTTGGTAATGCAGGTAGGTAGTATATAGAAGTGCCCTCTATTGGGAATCAGGAAGGAACAGTGTGAATGTTCACCACTGTGCCATTTGTCTGTTAGATGTGCTTGAAGTGAGGTCAGCGAGTCGTGTGTATATCCACCATCACTATGGAGGTCCGCTACTTGTTGACTTTCTGGAACACGGCGCCACAATTAATGCACAGCAGTACATAGAAACTTTGCAAAAATTGAATCGTGCCAACAAATCCAAATTCTTGTACAATATATGGAGTTTAAATATATTTTTTATGTATTTAAACTTCATGTATTGTACAATAGTAAATAAAGTAATTGTTTAAAACTGTTTTAGAATAATAGTTTTTAAAATATTCTGCAAAAGTAACTCAAACTCTTTGGACAAAACAACTCCACCATTACTGTAAATAATTCTTTAAGTGAACAGATACTTGTTCATTATAGTTTAAGATGTAAAGATTATAAGATTTACATGTATTAAAAATAATTCAGTATTCTATTTTATTAATTATTGGTAAGAAAAGTTTTTCTAATGATATCAGACAAATTCAATTCATTGAAATAGAATAATTGATCATATTTTAGACTAGGTCACAGTTACAGTAAAATTTTGAGAAGAATCACTTATGGAACCAAGCAAAGTCTGAAATTAACTTAGTAATGTTAGGTATACAATAATAAGAAATTTGAATCTAATGAAATTTAAAAAAACAAGTATGTTTTAGTAAAAAATATATCTTAAGATATGTGATAGACAATAAGTAATAAAGGTATAAATTATTTTACAAATTATATAATATATTATTATTTACTGTTGAAGGTTATGTCCAGCAATCAAAGCTGTCTTAGAACATGGTATGAAGAGATCTTCTATATTGAATGGACCTTGTCATCCATGGTTATTTATTGAAGAGGTAACTAAGAATATAACATATTTTATTAACATTAACATTATTTATCGTTATGAAAGTGTATAAGGGTCACTAAATTAAGACTAAATATGGCTCCTGAAGCATATTTTTCTGCCTGCCCATAACATACTATACTCTTACTACAGACACTTTTCTTAATTGAAAAGAATTTTCTCTAATTTTTAATTACAAAATTGATTTGAATATATGAGTTCTAAGTTTTGGCTCTATGGAGGACTTATAACACACTATTGAAGTTGTTGGAGTAACCACATGGATATGGGTGAACACAGTTTTATTATAACTATGGTATGCATTTCAGACAGTCTATCTGTTCCTCTTCAGCCGTGTTTGTTACAATTTGATGTGTTTACAGGAGTTTAAATAGTACCTTCTATTTGTTGCCTAAACTTGGATGTCTTAATTTTTAGTTTTAATACAGACGTTTTTATTTTGTTTACAGTACAAACAGTAACATACTTGTTGTTTAATGAATTAATTGTGAAGTAAATAAAGTTTTTTGCAGTCTGTCAGCTTATACAAACTATGTCTACTACTACTAACACAATGTTACTATAGGATGGTATGCAACAGGTGTTGTAATATAAGGACTTGTGTTTATCTATTTTCCACAAAAACTGATATGATTGTTATCTGCTCTATATTAAGCATCAGTTTTAGAAGATATACTTCTTCAAATAAAATTTTTAATAATATTTCAAATTGATGTTATATTATATTAAAGTATTTATAATACAGATATAACTTTTGATTTAAAAATGAATTCTAATAAATGGATAATTTAAATGTGTATATATTTTTTCTTTTCTTATGTAGATTATTAGTCAGAAAGATGAGCATTGTTGGATTGGAGAACTTAATGGATTGAGAGGATGGTTTCCTGCAAAATTTGTAGAATTACTAGATGAACGTAGTAAACAGGTATAATTATTTTAGCATTACATGGAAAAAATTACTGTTTTTGTAATAGAATATAGTGCATTTGTTAAGTCATTGTTGGCAATTCAATGTTTAATGATGGCTTTCATAATTGCATTTATGACAAATTGTTAAAGCTATTTTTAATTATATTGCTAGCATTTGATGTTAATAACAACAGTTTCATAAATTCAGTTTCANCGATTCAATTTTTGCAAAGTTTCTATGTACTGCTGTGCATTAATTGTGGCGCCGTGTTCCAGAAAGTCAACAAGTAGCGGACCTCCATAGTGATGATGGATATACACACGACTCGCTGACCTCACTTCAAGCACATCTAACAGACAAATGGCACAGTGGTGAACATTCACACTGTTCCTTCCTGATTCCCAATAGAGGGCACTTCTATATACTACCTACCTGCATTACCAACTTCCGTGCCACACTTGTTATATAGTCTGTCTCATTTTCATTTGACTGCCCCTAATATTTTATTTTACTGTACATATTGGGTGCATTTTCTGGTAAAACACTTAACTGTCTTTTAACAAAGTGGCTTTAAGTTATTTCCATTTTAAGTTAGCTGCTGCAGCACTAGTGCAGAGAGGTTCCGAGCACTAAAAACAGAAGTTAAGATGGCTACCACCATAAATTATATGCATATTACATACTTAGAAGATTGTGACTTACAAAAATACATTTTGAACTGGTTATCAGAAAAATTAAAAATGCACTTTTCCACCTGATCTTCTATACCAACATAGAGGTCTTCAGATTTATTAGTAATGGTAAATGCACATGTTATACTGTTGTTGTTTACCATACAAATAATGTATTTTTACACAAAATCAAATTTTTCTGATCAGTTGACTCCAATATATCAATACATTAAATATTCTTACCAAAAGAAAATAGAACAAATTACAGTATTCTTAACAATTTTTAAAAATGTAGAATAAATGCACATTCTTGTGCAAGTGCCATATCATTTAGTATTACAGAAAGCCATCATATAGGCATATCACTGAAAAATATATATTTTATATGATATGAGATAAACAATAAAAACATTGATGTCATAAATTTCTCATGTCAATTGTTTTACTGCATCAGTCATTTTTTCCCAAAGATGATAGATTGAGGTTTCACTGTATTAAAATAATAATAATAATATATTTCAGGAATCACCACTTTTTTCTGAGAAACGCCATATGACTTATAAGAGATAAGTTTGAGGGCCAAGTACAAAAGATATAATAAAGATAAGCTATTTTTGAATAACAACAAACCTAAATCAATGTGAAATTTGCAACTGCTTTTTTGAATCAATAACTGAGGATAAATTTTTTGATATACAATTTTAAAAACTGTCTTTAGATATTTGTTGTACACTGATATTCAATATTTTGATTGTATATATGTATGTATATATATTATATATGGGGTCACTAAATTAAGACTAAATATGGCTCCTGAAGCATATTTTTCTGCCTGCCTGCTAAATAAATAAATATATATATTTCATTTTCAAAAAAGTTTTTTCGTAAAAGTACACAGAAACAAAAAATAGAAAATATCCTCACTGCAAATTTCTTAAGACTTTATAAAATTTTTTTTCTGGCAGAAATTTGTAAAAATTTAACAAATACTCCTTTCTTTAAATGTATTTTTATAAAAATTATTTAAAGCAATGTCTATTAATTCTAATTGACTTTTCAAAAATTTATATGATTTGAACTAGTTTGAATGTTTATGTTTTATCATCAACATTCAAACTAGTTCAAACATTAAAACATCAATGAAAACAAGCTGGGCAGGCAGAAAAATATGCTTCAGGAGCCATATTTAGTCTTAATTTAGTGACCCCATATATAATATATATACATACATATATACAATCAAAATATTGAATATCAGTGTACAACAAATATCTAAAGACAGTTTTTAAAATTGTATATCAAAAAATTTATCCTCAGTTATTGATTCAAAAAAGCAGTTGCAAATTTCACATTGATTTAGGTTTGTTGTTATTCAAAAATAGCTTATCTTTATTATATCTTTTGTACTTGGCCCTCAAACTTATCTCTTATAAGTCATATGGCGTTTCTCAGAAAAAAGTGGTGATTCCTGAAATATATTATTATTATTATTTTAATACAGTGAAACCTCAATCTATCATCTTTGGGAAAAAATGACTGATGCAGTAAAACAATTGACATGAGAAATTTATGACATCAATGTTTTTATTGTTTATCTCATATCATATAAAATATATATTTTTCAGTGATATGCCTATATGATGGCTTTCTGTAATACTAAATGATATGGCACTTGCACAAGAATGTGCATTTATTCTACATTTTTAAAAATTGTTAAGAATACTGTAATTTGTTCTATTTTCTTTTGGTAAGAATATTTAATGTATTGATATATTGGAGTCAACTGATCAGAAAAATTTGATTTTGTGTAAAAATACATTATTTGTATGGTAAACAACAACAGTATAACATGTGCATTTACCATTACTAATAAATCTGAAGACCTCTATGTTGGTATAGAAGATCAGGTGGAAAAGTGCATTTTTAATTTTTCTGATAACCAGTTCAAAATGTATTTTTGTAAGTCACAATCTTCTAAGTATGTAATATGCATATAATTTATGGTGGTAGCCATCTTAACTTCTGTTTTTAGTGCTCGGAACCTCTCTGCACTAGTGCTGCAGCAGCTAACTTAAAATGGAAATAACTTAAAGCCACTTTGTTAAAAGACAGTTAAGTGTTTTACCAGAAAATGCACCCAATATGTACAGTAAAATAAAATATTAGGGGCAGTCAAATGAAAATGAGACAGACTATATAACAAGTGTGGCACGGAAGTTGGTAATGCAGGTAGGTAGTATATAGAAGTGCCCTCTATTGGGAATCAGGAAGGAACAGTGTGAATGTTCACCACTGTGCCATTTGTCTGTTAGATGTGCTTGAAGTGAGGTCAGCGAGTCGTGTGTATATCCACCATCACTATGGAGGTCCGCTACTTGTTGACTTTCTGGAACACGGCGCCACAATTAATGCACAGCAGTACATAGAAACTTTGCAAAAATTGAATCGTGCCAACAAATCCAAACACCCAGGAATGTTGACAGACAGCATCATTTTGTTGCAGGATAATGCCCACTCACATGTTACCAAGATTGTTTTGACTACAGTACACTGCAGAAGTTTCACTGGGAACTTCTAACACGATAGGTGGGACCGAGCGAATAACTACATAAGTCAAATTCACATAAGTCAGAGTATAATTTTGCATATACAGTAGAGCATCGATTATCCGTCCCCCGATTAACCGTCATCTCGGTTAACCGACCACGTTCTAGTCAGCAAATTCAAATGTCCGCTAGTGATGTGGCGCTACAATATTTGCCTGTCTTGGCTACTTTAATAGTACTTTTACATGTTTTAGCTGGCAACAAGGCTCGACCATGAAAGTGAGGCAAGTATTTAAACGAGGCTTAATTTTGTAATTATGAGTGGTTGTTTGTTTTGTGAGCAATAAAATAATTTAAAAATAATTTTTAACGATACAATACCGGCAATTATTATTTTAAAAAAATTTTTGTTAGGCTTAACATGGAGGAAAATTCAACACAAAGTAGGTTAATAGCAATATACTGATATACTAAGTACATGGGATATAATAATATACTACACTAATAATGGATTTTTTCATACTTTTCAGTTATCCAACTTTTCAATTATCCGACCAACCCCAGTCCCCAATTGAGTCGATAATCGATGCTCTACTGTAATATATACATACAAATAATTTTTAATTTGGGCTGGAAACTAAAGAAAACAATAATTTAGAAAAAAATGTTTAATAAAATCTTAGATAATACATATGTATAACAAATTATATTATCATACAATTTTTCACATTTACTTGATTATCACACCATAATTTTAACATTGTTTCCATCTCAGGGATAATACCGTGACATTTACAAATGATGCTTGAATTTAAAGATTGAGCATTTTTCGCAGCTTCGAGAATTTTTTCTTTACCTTTTATAATTGTTCTGACCGTCGATTCTGGTAGATCAAACTTCTTTGCCAATTCACAAATTTTCATTTTTGTATCAAAGTTTTTAGTAATGTTAACTTTACATTCCAAAGATAAAGTTTTTCTTTTCTTATTTGATGCAGAAGAATCAGTTCGGCTTTATTTAGATGACTTAGTAGAGTCTCTCGAGTCTCTGTAGATATAACAAACACAGAAATAAATAACAAAATAAATTGTAGTTATATGTCGATTCCGTGCGACACGTCCGAACATGTAAGCAGAACAATAGTGTGGGGGGAGTGAGTAATCCAGAGTTGCGTGGCGCTGAAACAAAAGTCGAATCGACAAGATTTGAAAATCGCATAACTCTGGGTTCGCGTAAGTTGAGGTATTACTGTATAGTACTATAATTTATTATCCTATTATATAAATACAGTATATTAAGAAGAGCTATTTGGGGAATTGGTTTAGTTTGGTTAATGAACTAATGTTCATATATGAAACTTTTTAACTTTTAACTTAACTTTTAAATATGGCAAACTTTTATTATTAGTACATAAAAATTAGTGTCTCAATTTAGCACCCTCTATTGTGGCTAGAATGATTGATGTAGGATAATATTTTTCTTTTAGTTAAAATACAGAATGTACATTGAGGGATGACAAACTATGAGGAAATGAAGAATACAGGAAAAATTAACATTATATAAATAGGTCCTTGTTTGGGACTGAAGGAAAAAACTAATAGATGTGGGAAAACAACTGATATTGGAACAATAGATCAAAGTTTCACTGTAATTATATTATAATCTGTGATAACTTATTTTATATTTGGATGAAATATATTTATCTGGATTTTATTGTCATAATAGTAAATTTGATACTTTTTCATTTATGTTTTCTGTTTTGATGTCCATTAGCATTCCAGATTTTAAATAACAAAAAACATTGCTTTACTGGAGTCAAAAAGAGAGAGACCATCAGTTCACTAATATTTTAGAATCTCTGAAGTTCTTCATCAGGGGTATAAAGTTCACAATAAACTAAACAAAAATTCTTAAATTCACATGAAATTTAAAAATAATTGAACTAAAAAGGCAGTTTAAAATTCAGTTCTTGAATAGTCTTTAATTTGACTTAGAGTTAAGAGCAAATAACATGAATATGCTATGATAAAAAGTCAAACGTGCCTGTTTTCAAGTTAAAAGACATTAAAGAATGTTTATTTCTGTTATTTTTGAATTTTGTGTAGTTTTGTAACTTTTATCTCCTGGTGGTGGATTTAGCAGGTTTAAAAGTACTAGAGAATTGATGATTATTTTTTGTTTGACTTCAATAAGGTGGCATTTTGTGTACTCTTTGGATATGTTTTACTTTATCTTTAAGGTTATATGTAATTAATGATAGGATCATTAATTATATAAAAATATAAATTTAATATTAGATATTGATTAAAAATTATTTTAAATAAAATGTTAAATAATCTTAAATTTTTATTGTCATTTATTTTAGGTTGCTAATAAAGAAGTAGAAAAGGATTTCAATTCCGTATATTCTCGATTGGTTTTATGCAAAACTTTCAGGTAATTTAAATTTTACAATGAATATAAAAACTGTTTTTAAAATGCTGCTTTGATGACAAATAAATCATTTTATATATATATATATATAAAATGATTGATTTAATATTAAAGTATCATTTTTATTTAAAGTTTTCTTTTAATGTTACATAATCTGATAAAATACCTTTTAACATAAAGTTGTTTTATTCTTTTATAAATTTGTTATTAAAAGTTTTACACATTAGTGCAAACAAGAACAATTTTGTTATCACTAAATTGTTTTGTCATTTCTTTTGTTGAAATCTTTCAGTTTGATTTCTTAGTTTTTTTTTTTATAATGTGAGTAAAAATTGTTAATGGAACAATTTATTTTATTAATTTTAGATGTTTCTAGCTATTCCAATTTTTTAAAATCATATATTGTTTATATATTAATTCAGCTATATCCCTGTCTTTAAACTTTCTGTACCTATAGATTTAACCACTAGTGTTATGGATGAAGAGCAAATTTTTAGATATTGTTTATGTTTGTATGGGTGTGTTTGATACATCCAAAATTTTTTCTGTACTTCAGGTTTATTTATTTATTTACAAATTAAGGAGGACCCTCCCTAGTTATGCTATTGCTGAGTAACAGTTACTATATAAATGCAGTGTATACAGTGTATGATCATAAGGTAGGAATTAGTTATTGAGTCAGAGCACTGGTATAGAGACTCCATGACCTGTAAACATTAATATGAAAAAAAGCAAATCTTAAATTCATTTATCTTAATTAAATTAAAAGTATATATTTTATGAATGCAGTGTATACTGCTTGCAACAACACTGCATTGTACATTGTAGTTTCAAGCATTTTGTTGAATCATGAGATATGATATGATGGTTGAATGAGGGGAGGTGTGGGAGATGGCACTACACTGTTTAACAGTCCTGTTGCTAGAGTTTGAAATGCAACATCCCTAATAGAATTGATTTTATTTTTTGTCATTTTGATGAGTGCTGGTTTTGATTAAAATACAGTAGAGCGTCGATTTTCCGAATCAATTGGGGACTGGGGTTGTCCGGATAACTGATTTATGTACGAAAAAATAGTTTAATGTAACCGATGTCAAAATTTTTCTCCGTTGCGTGTTGCTTTGCGTTGAATTTTCGTCGATGTTAAGCTTAACAANTTCTTAGTTTTTTTTTTTATAATGTGAGTAAAAATTGTTAATGGAACAATTTATTTTATTAATTTTAGATGTTTCTAGCTATTCCAATTTTTTAAAATCATATATTGTTTATATATTAATTCAGCTATATCCCTGTCTTTAAACTTTCTGTACCTATAGATTTAACCACTAGTGTTATGGATGAAGAGCAAATTTTTAGATATTGTTTATGTTTGTATGGGTGTGTTTGATACATCCAAAATTTTTTCTGTACTTCAGGTTTATTTATTTATTTACAAATTAAGGAGGACCCTCCCTAGTTATGCTATTGCTGAGTAACAGTTACTATATAAATGCAGTGTATACAGTGTATGATCATAAGGTAGGAATTAGTTATTGAGTCAGAGCACTGGTATAGAGACTCCATGACCTGTAAACATTAATATGAAAAAAAGCAAATCTTAAATTCATTTATCTTAATTAAATTAAAAGTATATATTTTATGAATGCAGTGTATACTGCTTGCAACAACACTGCATTGTACATTGTAGTCTCAAGCATTTTGTTGAATCATGAGATATGATATGATGGTTGAATGAGGGGAGGTGTGGGAGATGGCACTACACTGTTTAACAGTCCTGTTGCTAGAGTTTGAAATGCAACATCCCTAATAGAATTGATTTTATTTTTTGTCATTTTGATGAGTGCTGGTTTTGATTAAAATACAGTAGAGCGTCGATTTTCCGAATCAATTGGGGACTGGGGTTGTCCGGATAACTGATTTATGTACGAAAAAATAGTTTAATGTAACCGATGTCAAAATTTTTCTCCGTTGCGTGTTGCTTTGCGTTGAATTTTCGTCGATGTTAAGCTTAACAAAGACTATTGTATCGTTAAAAATTATTTTTTTGTTTTGTACAAACAAAATAAATATATTGAAAAATATAAAATAATAAAAAATTATACTTCAGAAGTTAATTTAGTATCAAAAACGTAAAATATTTGAGTAGCCCAAGACATAGCCAAAGATTGAAGCGCCACAGCACTGGCGAAAATTTAAATTTGCCAACTGGAATTCTTTTGGAAAATCGACGCTCTACTGTATTAATTTTAATATTAATTATATTATTATACACTGTGTAATAAAAATAAAATATCATTTTTTGATTTTAATTTTCTTTGTGGGAGTTCATTTCATATTATAATCATAATAAGTGATGCAATTCTGCAGCACTTATTTTGATTATAATATGAAATGTACAGTAACATTATAAAAATAAAGAAACAAAAATATTTAAGGACTAATATAATTAATTATGTATGTTTTATAAAACACTTCTTGTTTAATTTTTTCAGACTCGATGAAGATGGAAAAGTATTAACTCCTGAAGAAATTTTATATAGGGTATATAGAAATAAATTCAATTTTAATGCCTTTATATAAAGTTCTTTTAATAATTATATTATATAAAATTTAGTCAGTGCAAGCTGTTAATTTGTCCCATGATGTAGCCCATGCTCAAATGGATGTAAAATTAAGAACACTTATATGCATTGGACTCAAGTAAGAAGCTTTCTTGAATGAATGTCAATATTTTTATGTTTATTATTTTTTTGTTGAAAAAAGTTATAATTATAATAACTTAAAATTTTATTTCAGTGAACAAGTTCTTCACTTATGGTTTGAAGTACTTTGTTCGTGTGTTAGTGTAGTTCAGAAGTGGTACCATGTGTGGTCTTTCATCTATAGTCCTGGTTGGGTCCAGATAAAATGTGAATTAAGGTATATACAGTAAATTATTTTAGATGAAAACCAGTTGAAAAAAATTAACAAATAATTTTAGATATTCAAATCTTAAATATCTAGTATTTTAGTAATTATAATTTTAAATACATTTAAATATAATGTAATTTAAGTATTACCAGTTTCAAATGTTAAATTTTAATTAACTATCAAAGAAAACACAAATATATTGCAATTTTGTAAGAGACTTATTTAATTTCTTAATTAGTATTAAAATTTTGTAAAAATTTTAGCATATCGTTTTTATTATTTTTGTTGTTTTATTGCTCTTTAATTATTTAACATTTTTATAGTATTATTAAATTGTAATATTTTATTGGCTCTATGTACTATCTCAATGATAACAGTCAGTCTTTAAAATTGATATATACAAACATCAGTAAAATCCCAATTAACTAAGACCTATAAACCACTCTCATACCCAGCAGAAGTACTAAACACAAACTTAACCAACACCTTAATATTCGCTGAGAAATTATTTTTATTAAACAAACGCTTTCGATCTATTCAATAGATCATCTTCAGGTTTAAATAGAATATTGCTTAAATAGAACAAGTTCAAAAATTCAAAAATACTGTTAGTCAATAACATATCAACTAATAAGAATAACCAATATAATGTAAATGATACAAAAAATGTAAAAATAAATAACATAATAATCTTAATAAATATTAATACTGTCTATCCTATCTAGACAGAATTTCCTTTAAAACATTCTAGGGTTTGTGCGCCTTTTGTAAGTTTTTAACTGCATATTTCCAAGCCATAGGAAGACCCTCCACGTCCCTTGCGTTAGATGGAATGAAGCGGAAATCATAAAACAGATACACTCTCCAAGTTTGGCAAGAACGGCTGAAAAGATAGAAATTTACAGAAGCAAGCTTAAAGAAAAATGCATTAACGCAAGGGACGCAGAGGGTCTTCCTATGGCTTGGAAATATGCAGTTAAAAACTTACAAAAGGCGCACAAACCCTAGAATGTTTTAAAGGAAATTCTGTCTAGATAGGATAGACAGTATTAATATTTATTAAGATTATTATGTTATTTATTTTTACATTTTTTGTATCATTTACATTATATTGGTTATTCTTATTAGTTGATATGTTATTGACTAACAGTATTTTTGAATTTTTGAACTTGTTCTATTTAAGCAATATTCTATTTAAACCTGAAGATGATCTATTGAATAGATCGAAAGCGTTTGTTTAATAAAAATAATTTCTCAGCGAATATTAAGGTGTTGGTTAAGTTTGTGTTTAACTAACTTGTAAGACCTATTCAATCAAAATTCCATATTGTTTGAGGTGAATTATGGAGGATACTTTGTCAATAAAGCCAAATTGTACATTACAATTCATTTCATGAATCTTGGCTATGCATGGTATTTGAAAGAAGTTCTAAAAGTCTTTAAAATAATTTACTATAATTTAATATGTTATTTCATAGTAAGTAAATTAGTGCTTTTTTTTCACTTCAACTTTTCTCTTTTTGTGATGGAAAATGCTTATGATGATTTTAAGCTAAATATTATGGCATATAATAAAATTATTAAAAGAGCATAACAATCAAACAGAATATTCAGCAATTAAATGTATATACCTGGAAAGTTGATAAGCCATATTTAAAGTAGGAAACTGTTATTTTTATTGAAGAATGTTGTGATAGGAAATTAACAATATGTTACATATAGTTAGATGTTATAACTATGATATGGTTAGAACTGTTTCAAAAAATTATCATAGGCTTTCTTATTTAATAACTAAAACAAACTGAATGGAAAAAATTGAGTAAATTCATTAATTTATCAGGTTTGTAATTTCATTATGACATATTTTTAGTAGAACTTTGAATTTTAACATTGGTAACAGTAAAACTGAAAAGATGATGATGATTAAATTTATTCTACTTAAAAAATTAAGTGTTAGTAATTACAACATTATAGCTACTAAAATTAATATGTTTTCATCATCAAATTCTTAATCAGTTTCATATCGTAAATAATACCTTTAAAAGATTTTAAAATCTTATTTTCTTCTTGTATTCAGTATTTAAATTTTCTAATATAAAAATTAGAAAGGACTTTAATTTAATGAATTTAGTTTTATTTTCAGATTACTGTCACAATTTGCCTTTAATTTGAATCCAGACTGGGAACTACCAATCAAAAATGAACCTTCACAGCCATTGAAAGAAGGTGTTCGGGACATGCTAGTCAAGCACCATTTGTTCTCTTGGGATTTGTGACAGGAGGAGGATGAGGTGATTTATCACCTCTAATATAACCCTTGTGTGATTCACTGACAAAACGTCATTAATTTCCTCTGAAATATTAATTACAAAAAATTTTTCCTTTTCGTCAGGGTAACATTCCATTCACGGTACAAATGACAAGTGTTTTTTCCCTCTTTCTAAGTGGTTTTTGTTATTGGAAATTTTAAATTTATATTTTATTTTAAAATATTTTAACTTGTTTACTTTTATTTATGCCAAATTTCTTAGTATTCACTTAATTCAAGTTTTTCACCAAGTTGATANAATATATTTTTTATGTATTTAAACTTCATGTATTGTACAATAGTAAATAAAGTAATTGTTTAAAACTGTTTTAGAATAATAGTTTTTAAAATATTCTGCAAAAGTAACTCAAACTCTTTGGACAAAACAACTCCACCATTACTGTAAATAATTCTTTAAGTGAACAGATACTTGTTCATTATAGTTTAAGATGTAAAGATTATAAGATTTACATGTATTAAAAATAATTCAGTATTCTATTTTATTAATTATTGGTAAGAAAAGTTTTTCTAATGATATCAGACAAATTCAATTCATTGAAATAGAATAATTGATCATATTTTAGACTAGGTCACAGTTACAGTAAAATTTTGAGAAGAATCACTTATGGAACCAAGCAAAGTCTGAAATTAACTTAGTAATGTTAGGTATACAATAATAAGAAATTTGAATCTAATGAAATTTAAAAAAACAAGTATGTTTTAGTAAAAAATATATCTTAAGATATGTGATAGACAATAAGTAATAAAGGTATAAATTATTTTACAAATTATATAATATATTATTATTTACTGTTGAAGGTTATGTCCAGCAATCAAAGCTGTCTTAGAACATGGTATGAAGAGATCTTCTATATTGAATGGACCTTGTCATCCATGGTTATTTATTGAAGAGGTAACTAAGAATATAACATATTTTATTAACATTAACATTATTTATCGTTATGAAAGTGTATAAGGGTCACTAAATTAAGACTAAATATGGCTCCTGAAGCATATTTTTCTGCCTGCCTGCTAAATAAATAAATATATATATTTGGGTTTATCTGTTAAGAATTAGAAATTATTTCCATAATTTATTTTTATCTGTTTATTTTTACTTAATAGACTAATTAGGCAATTTAATCACATTCTCAACACACAATAATTAATCCTCTAAAATATTTTGATTAGTATTTTCTTTTTACAATTACTTTAACAAAACTATGCAAACAAATATATAATAATTGTAATATGCATTAGTTTTTCAAAGATTGTCACACAAAAGTAAGATGTGAAAGATAAAATTTAGAATTAAATCTATTTTATTTGCATAATTGAGTTCTTAATTTAACTTGATTTTTTAACATACAATGATCTTTTTTGTCATCTTTATTTTTATTGAGAATCCCATACATAATTATAAGTTATATGAGATACCCAATTAGCAACTCCATTTTTTATTTTAAAAATAGCTTAATTTCAAATGGAGATTGAGTTTAGATTTAGTAGATTCATGTAATGAACCAAAAACAATTATTATTAATTTGCTCAATTTATGTTTTATATATTAATTAATTTGGAATTGAAAAATATGAAACTTTTGTGTGTTTCATTCCAATTGTTTAATTGAGTTAGATAAAAATAATTTCGGGTATTGGATTCTTCAAAACAAGAATTCTGCTTATACTACAAATAATCATAATATAACAAGGAAAAGGATTCACTATTAATAATAGTCCAAATAAATATGTTAAAAGGACCAAGAATAATAAGTATGTATTATTAATAATTGGTTGTTCCTTATTTTCTACTTTTCTTTATACTCCAATTATTCTCCACTATTGTCATATCATTCATTGCTACTAAAATGTTAAGTTTGTCATACACCAAAACTCAACAAGTAATATTGTTAGTCATTTTAAAATACTGTGCAAAAATCAAAAATGATTATTTCACATATTATTATTAGGTAAAAGTGTAGCTCTGGATGAGGTAGGATGGTTGAGACTTTATCAGAACTGTAGTCCCATGTCTATAGGAGTCAACAGAACTGATGGTCTACATATGGCTCTTCACAAGATATAACCCCAAAATATCAACTAAGCTGTTTGTTAAACACATGATAAGCTTAATGGAATGTGGAGTGGGACTTCAAACTAGTATCCTGGGAGTAATCTGTGCAATGGCATTTCTTGTGTTTTCTGTTTTACTAGACTACTAAAAGCTCATAAAACAGTTGATTTTTAGCATTGCTATGAGAAATATTTCTGGATTTCTTTACATTTAAATTTTATTCCATATTCAAATTTAAATTTATTAATGTATCATGGAATTTATCCAGCTACAAGGGGGATACAATAAATTAACACACTATAAACAAAAGTTGAACTAATATAAATATATAATTCCTATGATGTTGGAAATTTTTCCATAGCACTTGAACTTGAAAACACAGAGTTAAATCAGTGAATTCAGACTTGAGACTTGTTTTCTATATTACTGCTGTAGTCCCCTGACAATTTAATATATTTGTTAAAAAAATTGTATACTCTTGTTATCATAATTGGACCCATTTGAAATAGTTGTTGTAAAATTCTTCTATAGATTCACATGCAGTCAAAGTAGAAACACCGAATTGATCACTAAAATTTATACATCCATTACATGTACAAATTAAATGATAGATAGAAAAAAGTTTCAATCGACTTTCATATTATTAAATAATATATGTGATATCCCATATCTAACCATCATAAGACTAAATTTATTATACCAATTATTTGTGTAATTCCTTTTAACCTCAGCTAATCTTTTAAGTACTTTCAATAAGTATTCTCACTGTTGGCCATTCTCCTATAAAACCTCATAATCCTTATTACCATATATGGCTCCAATTATAATCTATTAGTATCATGCCAAATTGCTAGGTACAGCCCTGTCCTGACAATAAATTTTTCTTATGAATAATAATTGGATTTTCTCGAAAAAAGGTAACCAATATCAAATTTATGACAAATGATGAAAAGCACTGAAATTGTTTTTGTATAGAATTAATTTTTATTTTTACTAATATAAAAATTAAATTATTTATTATTCTATTTGCTTTATTTTGAACTTGTTGGACATGTTTTCCAAAAGATAGTGTTGAAGTAAAATGAATTCCCAAGTATGAAAATTCTTCAACTACTTTCAATTTGTCGTTTAGAAGATAAAAATCGTGATCCTATTCAGCCATTCTTCCTCCTCTTCGAAATATAAGGATATGAGTTTTATTTGGGTTAATTTTCATTCCCAACTGAGAAAAATATTTCTGCATATGATTTAGTTTTCTTTGTAGACCAGTTTTAGTAGTTGAAATTAACAATACATCATCCGCATATTGAATTGAATGGACTGTCTGATTTTCCACTGGAATTCCATCTTCTTCCCTGTTGAATTGTTTATCAATATCATGGATTATGAAATTAAATAGGTAAGGTGATAATGGGTCACCTTGCAAGAGACCTCCGCTTATATCAAAAGGAGGGTAAGTATTCCTACCACTTTTAATTGTAACTAAATAGTGGCCAAATAAAGATTTTATCGCTTTTATAAATATTAGATCCGCACCATGTGTTTTTAATTTAGCACATAGTTTTTCTATTGATATCGAATCAAAGGCCTTTTCTAGATCTAAAAAAGCTGCATAGACTTTTCATCTTTTTCTAGAAAGATGAATTTGAATACATGAGAGCAATACAAACGTTGCAACTTCTGTTCCACTCCTCTTGATGAATGCAAATTGTGAATTAGATATCAAAGAATTCACTCTTATCCATTGATCAAAACCTATTTGTGAGAACTGATGCAAAGATTTTTCTTAATGTAGACAATATAGCAATGGGTCTATAATTACTGGGATTTAGCCCACCACCCCTTTTGAATATCATCCGAAAATATGCTGAACACCATGATTCAGGAAAAATACCATGTTCATATATATAATTGTAACTAAGCGCCAAAGCTTCAGCCGCTTTAATTGGCAATCATTTTAGAAAACTAACTGATATTAAATTGGGTCCGACAGCAGTAGATTCACTTAGTTTATTAATAATTTTTACTATTTCAGAGGCCTGTATTGGCAGATTCATCACCATCTCTTACAGCTACATCTATTTGTGATAAACTAATTGGTATATCTAATTTCCTCTCCTTGAAAAAATCAAATCATTTAACAAAATCGATATGATCCTGGTTTTCCATCCCGGTCCTCAATATTTTTTCACCATTGACCAGAAGAAAGTGTTATTCTTGTCTATTAATAGTTTTTTGTTCAACAGGTTAAAATAACTTCTTTTCTTTGCGTTTATAATGTTGTTATATCTTCTTTTTGAACCACTATATTCAATTAATCATTCTTTTGACCTATTTTTATGGAATAATGCCAGAGTATATTCTTTGAGTCTTTTGGCCCTATAACAATCCAGATCAAACTACTCCTGTTTAAGATTATCAGCACAAAACCTTTCTCACTAATTTCTAGCCTTATTAACTGGAGTACAAACGTTTTCGGCCTTCTTAATAGGCCTTCCTCGGGTACACTGTGGAGCGTCGGTTAGAAGAAGTTTAAATGCTGCCAATGTTTACCCAGGTATCGTCTTACCAGTGACGTCATCGTCGATGATAGGTATACGATACCAAGGGCGAAAAATACATACTTTTGGTAAAGAAGGGAGGTGTGCAGATAGGATACTTGCTAAAGTTTTAAACTTCTTCTAACCGACGCTCCACAGTGGACCCGAGAAGGCCGAAAACGTTTGTACTCCAGTTAATAAGGCTAGAAATTAGTGAGAAAGGTTTTGTGCTGATAATCTTAGAAATACTCCTGTTTAAACTTAGATGTCATTTTGTTTAAGTATTTAATTCTAAATTTAAGGGCTCAATTCGATAATAGAGTTATTAAAAATTTTACTTAATTTATTATAAATTTCACTGAAACCTGCCTTTTGAACTAGCTTCATTCTTTCACTTATTTCAGACTCAAATTTTTCAATGTTATATTTACATTTCTTTGTTTGTAAATTGACTCCTTTACTTGTCTTCTCATTAGAAGTTGGTAACTTAGTACTTGATCTGATAGTTAATTGTATTGGAAAGTGATCTGATAAATCATTATCAGTTACCTTAAAACTGACACAATGGTCCAAAATGAATTCAGAACATAATATATAATCAATCACTGATGCACCTTTTGTTGAAATGAAAGTATGTCT